CGTGCAATTACCGGGTAGCAGGAAGAAAGGATACGACCGTTAGACGGTGCGGATTTCACGGTTACTTCGGGGCGCAAACTTCCCCGCGGCAAATTACTCTCTCGCCGAGACGCGAAACGCACTTAAGAGCCGCTTATTAATATGCGTTAAGTGTCCGAGGTGTCTCCCTGCCCTCCTCCTCGTCCCCTCCTTTTCGCTGTGTATCCTTCTTTCTCTTTCTCCGTCCGCTTATTTTTCTCCTTGCGACTCNCGCGTCCGTCATGCGCGTTGCATCACGCGTATAGCTGCACATTAAAATTAAATTCGTTAGCGCCCGTACGATCGCACAACATACCTACATTTCCCTACGCAGTCCTTGATACGCACACCGTTACGCGCACACCGCACATACGCTTTTCCCGACTCGTTCGCACCAATCTTTTTTCCATTCCAATCGGAATCGCGATCGACTCTTCCTCTTGTAGACTTCCTCTATCTACCTACACGCTTACGATTCGATCGAATTGTATTCCATAAATCCCTCTACTTTTCATACTTAATACCCGATAGATGGTAAATTATCGAACGAATCGACATTCGAGTAATCCTACGCACGAGATGCGAGGTATACTCGCTCGAAGCGCGCATACTGGACAACGTAAGACCGGATAAAGACGACGACGAGGACGAGGATGACGACGACGACGACGACGACGACGACGACTACAACGACGACTACGATAACGAGGACGACGATGTTTAAACGAAGAAGGAGAGAACTCGGTACGCGGTAGACTGGCGGTGGTTATACATCCTTCGAATGCGTATACGCGACTGGTGATGGTTTGTCGTCGTAGCGGTGCACGTGATCCCAGGCCCCTCATCAAGGGTCGTAACTCGTGAAATAATGCGACGACGAATTCGCGTGGATGTAATTCGACGATCGGTGATCCCGAAACTGCCGGATGATCATAAGACGGTCCCGATCGAAATCTACCATTTAGGCGCTTACTATCGAGGAAGACAGCATCCGGGGGTGGGAGGAGGGAGGAGGGGAGAAGGTAGAAGCAACAAGCCGGAAGCTCCGGCATGATTTCTCTCGAGGGCATCCTCTCCTCTTGGGGAGGATGCCCTCCTCTCTCTCTCTCTCTCTTTCTCTCTCGACGTCAAATCGTTGATTATACCACCGACTGAACTCGTTCTTATCTTCTTAATACACGGACAATTCGGTTAATAACGTATAACCGATGCAGTTGTCCGTGAATTGGAAATAAGAGTATCGATATAATACCGTACAAATTAATCCAACTGTTCTTCCCAACCAAGATTTTTCTACGTTTCGCGCCGAGTTGATCGACCCGAGATACGCTCTCAGGAAGAATAAAATAAAAAAGAAAGAAAGAAAGAAAAGTGAACGGAATCATCGATCGAAATTAAAATGATCAATATATATCGAAGATCGAAGACAACTCGCGAATAATATATACGAAACTCGGTACGTCATGATGAGCACGTAATCATTTCGGCTGTGTTCGATTTGACTTTCAGGGTTAGGCAGTCTTTTGGTGATCTTGCTGGTGGTCTCGGTGCACGCCGCTCCAGCGATGACCCTCGAGGACAAACGACTGAGCTCGACCCCCAAGTGGGTGAATCCTTGCGGCCTCGCGGCCGAAGATTTTACCGGAGATTTGGAAGTGGTGCAGCTCACGGACTCGCAGCTCCTTCATCAGGTCGTCGTTCAAGCGAAAACAGCGCTGATGCACGCCAAACTTTTTCGCGACGATTACGTGAGTACGCGTATTCTTATATCCTTCCCCTCCACCCCTCCCCCTCCCCCTGTCTCGCATCCAACCATCATCCAACTGAGAGATCCTCGAGTATCACCTCGAGAAAAGCATCGATGATTATCTTCGATCGTTGTATCGAAAAAACGGTGAAATATTTCGAATTAAAGGAAGATTTTACGCGGTGGTTGGACACGCGGTGTTCGTTCGTTTTCGCGATCGAATATTGGTGCGAGTTAGCGGCGATCGGAGACCAAGATGAAAAGTTTATCAATGGTTCAATAATTACTGACGTGACTTCTGGCGGGGGATCGGACGGGGAAAGGGGACATCGAGCGGAAGGCAGTTATGGCAGTACTTCCGGTCGTACGGCCGTTGATCGTAGAGTCGCACAGACCTTCGAAAGAGATCTCGGACTTACGAATCGTTTTTTCGTCGAGAATACGCTTTCGATATTCACGCGCCCGATATTTTCTTCTTCTTCCCCCCCCCCGTTCTCGTGTTCTTCTAACGTTGATTAACGCGTTGCCTCTTGTAATTTCACGTATCGAGGAAAGTTGGCAGGGAAATGCGAATAAATTAACCGCGTATAGATGGATAACACATAGAGGAAAACGAAAGTGGAGCGCAAACGAAAATGAAATTTTCGAGATTCGTCGATTCGAAATATTTCGCGTGAATGATTTACTTTCGCCACTTGGAAAATTCGTCTCTCATCGTTTTCCACGATTTTATTTCAAACTTCTTTCTCGCGCCTATTCGTTTTTTCCTCTTCCTTTTCTTTCTTTTTAAATCACTACTACGTTGCTCGCCCGTAACGATAATAATTCATCTTTATCGAAGTAATTAAACGTTCCATCATCGATACTCGAACGCTCGAGTATCTCCATTTCCTCGCTGAATGGATTGGAAAGCGATCAAAATTACCCCGTTTCTCTTATTGCGAATATATTACGCGCAATTTTTATTACTCGTAATTGTAGATTGGAAACGCAAAATGTTATAATCGCCGGAAATAAAATTGGAAACGAAACGAAAGAGAGGAGAGTTTCGTTCCCCTCGCGTTATATACTCGGTAACGAACATTGTTGCCATTTGTCAAGAATTGTACAAAGCCAATACGAAGGCAGGTAGCTCGTTGGCCGCGGTTTTTTTTCTTTTTCGCGAATATCATCAAACGTGTAAGCGATCTTGAGGGAGGAGAGAGAGAGAGAGAGAGAGAAAGAGAGAGAAATAGATTCGTGCGACCGCGCACGGAGATCCTTTCGTTTCGAAAGAATCTTCCCAGCCGATCGTGCCTTATTATCTCTAACCAAGGACAATAAATCACGGGA